ATACCCTCACCACACCGGCTCTCCTTGCCGCGGCGTCGCCGCGGCGGGCCCACTTGTTGTGAATAAAATATCTCTTTCACACCACATACCCTCACCACACCGGCTCTCCTTGCCGCGGCGTCGCCGCGGCGGGCCCACTTGTTGTGAATAAAATATCTCTTCGATAGTTATAAGAAGTATATACAAATTTATAAAAACATGATTACAAACTCTTCACCATAAGTTTTAAGAAAATGTTTAATGTTTCTTAAAGGTTTTTTATTTCTTTATTAATGGGCCATATGCACATTTGTTGCATAGACGAATTATTAGACTCAAATGAACAACTCTCAAGTTCTCAACTCCATGTTACATATGATCCATTTCCATATAGACGGGCCTTGAGTATAAAAGCCATGAGCATTTACAGATACATGTACGTTACATATGAGCCATTTTATATACGACAATTATGCGACGGAATGATTATTCACATTCCCCGAGTCAAACTTTCATGGTCTAATTGTGTTACTAGACTTGGTACATATTTGGATCAAGACTTTGAGTCGGCCCAAAATTATAGATAGATGTGCGTGTCCTTGAAAATCCCAATGTAAATGTGCCCTTATATAGCACTGGCCATTTTTCAGAGTCTATATGGTGAATGCATCATAGTGCTGATCATAATCAAAGTAGTGGACCGAGAATCGAGAGTGAAAAAGGAATCTGAAAGATGCACATAGAGGCACGACATGATGTGGAGGAGGACAACACAAAAAAAACGTTCCCATAACTTCGAGAAAGCTGAATTAGGCAACAACATAGGATGATAGCCGATGGTGGTATAACTCGTCGCCCCCGATTCCTCTATAAATTCGCCGGGTGTTGGCAAGGGATGTAGAAAGATCCCACATTCTTGCTGGTAGTGCTATACAAGGGACTATAGGGGACAACAATAAAAATTGCCCCCTCTTATTACTTATCGGGGTGATACTAATGTCCAACTAAGTGATAGCATGGGACATCAAAAGGGTCCCTCATCCAAGGCACCCTATCGTCCCTTACAGAGACAAAACAGCTCCCACATTTGTCTAAGGCCATGCTATATGAGGAATACTAGCGAAGGACAAGCAGGGGAGGCGATCAAACTTCTAGTGCAGATGTTGAGAAAGCTTAGTTGACTGCCATATGGAGGATGACCCTCGAGAACTGTGAGCCTAGGTAGGTGATGGGCATCATCTATGTTGCATTCACTGACATTCATTTGAGTAGGAATAGGGAGAACAAAAAGTAGAAAGTAGAGAGTATGTTAGATATTACCACAAGAACCAAGAAGAAGAGTAGCTTGAGTAGTGGAGACAGGACAACACAACGTTTTTGAATAGTAGAGCTGAAGAGATCAAAAGGTTGGTGACTCAATTCTTATCTGAAGAGCTTAAACTGGAGCTTAATCAGCGGGTGCGAAGCACAAAAAGTCATAATGGGACATCTCTCCTAAGTACCCAAATTCATGTCGTGAAATGGAAGGCACGAAATCAAGTCTCTTGGGTTAGGCGCGAAGCGCACGGAAAAGTATACCAAAGAAGGATACACCCGAGACTGATTCTCCGCCGAGCCCCTATCAAGGAGCTTGTAGAACGACTTAGGAAGTATGGATTTGGGACAAGACAACACTAAGTTTTTGAATAGTAGAACAACAAGGGAGAGTGTGGCGGCCCACATATGGAGACAAGACAACACTAATTGCTGTGATAAGAGAAATATTGTTGTGTTGTTAGGTTGTGTGGGAATGAGCATGCAGAGGTTGGGGTGTGAGCTAGCAATCGTGCGATGGGGCAATCTTCTCCTTCCTTAAACCAGCACTACCATTCAGGCTGGGAAGCTAAGTCATAAAACTTGATAAAAGTAACCTACACGGAATTTTTTGGTGGCCAGGACGCAATTGATGAAGTTCATTGGTGCCGCTCGACCTCAGAAATGTGAATTGCGAGGGCCGCAGGCGATCAATGGGAAAGGGAGGCCAATTTGAGCAAGTCTTCATCACGAGCAAAGTAGACTGAATAATGATATGATTCCATTTATATACAATTAATCGAGATAGGAGTTGAAGTTTGATGGCCAAACTTGGATGGGACGGAACACTTCCTTTTTCTTGCGGATCGAGCTAAACAGGCATTAGCTAAAATGGTTCTAGAACCCGAATGGGAAGCCCGTTTTGAACCTCACTCTTATGGATTTAGGCCAGGATGTAGTTGTCAAGATGCCATGGAAGCTCGAGAGTGCTTGAAGTTCATCCTCATCCTACTTACCATGTGGATTTTGGGGTTTGCCGGTGCTCACTTCCAATGCCGAGTGTAGTGTGCACTTGCGACAAGGCCGTGGAAAACAACCGCGGACGATGATGTCCACCATTAGATTGCAGAGGACGCTGGGAAGAGCCAAGGTTCGGCATTTCCAGGGCAAGACGCGGATCAGGTTAGGCAACACAGGTTGAGGAAGAGTGACAATTCAAGGTGCAACTTGTCTGAAGTGTCTTAAAGCACCAGCACATGGGCACCTGGGCCGCGGGCCTGACACCTCAAATTCTGGAGGCACGAAACGGATAGAAAACGCCACCGCCGATCGAATTTATCAACAGCGGACCCAGCGTTTGACGTTTCGGCTCGTTTTCTTGTGGCGACAAGTTTCGGACTTGCCAATCCTGAATTTCACTGCGAGCCGATGGGGCGTTTTCTTTGACTGGCACCACCAACCTTTGTGGTCCAACAGCGCCCAGCCTCCACTGGCCTCTGAAGAATTCGGAGTAGGCTGCGGTCCCAATCAATAGCTGGAGCAATTGTATAAAAAAAAAAAAAAAAAAAAAGAGAGTTAGCTTCACAGCCTGAAAGGTAGTGGTGGTTTAAACAATGACGTCCTCATAGTGCTCTCCATGCCAAACACGTTGTCTCCTCCCCCTCCTCCTCCTCCTCCTCCTCCTCCTCCTCTTTGTCTTGCCATGTGATGTCATCAGAACCACACTTCAAATATTTATTCCGTTTGCTGCCACGGATGATGTGCCGAGCTTTGGTACTTGCCAATTTACCCAGGGTCAACTGATATTTTGTTTAAATGCCTCCCCAAAGGCATTTCTGTGCTATGATTATGATTATGATTATGATTATGATTATGATTATCATCATCATTACCTTCATCATCATTATGGACAAATGCAATTCAGTGATGTTGTCAAGATTGTTCAGGGAACTGGAAACCAAAAAGGGAGGCAATGAAAGACATCGTATTTGAAAATTGTGAGAGCGCAGAAGATGCACTGCTTCTGATTTTGACCTACCGGTAGTATCAGGATTGTGAAAAAATGTGCATATAATTGGGTACTCATGCCAGACAAGAGTGGGCACTTGTGCTGTGTTTCGCCGCAAGTTTTGGGATCAACGAGATAAAGGTCAGGAAGCTTCTTTTCCTGTTTCTCCTCCTGCTGATGCTGGTTCTACAGCAATTCTTGAAGAAGACTTCCAAAAGGTAGAGATAGGTGCAGAGCAGGTGACAAGAGGACTCCTGCCTCAGCTGCTGCTGGTGTTGTGTAAAACGAAAACTGAACAGAACTCTGCAGCTGCCGCTGGCACTGGATCTGAGGATATCAAATACATCTGTGCTTGTGCTGCTGGCACTGGATGTGCAATACCTGTGTGTGTGTGTGTGTGTGTGTGTGTGTGTGTGTGTGTGTGTGTGTGTGTGTGTGTGTGTGTGAGAGAGAGAGAGAGAG